CATTTAAGCAGGTGACTTCAATGGTCATAGTAGAGAAGCCGCATCAGTCAGAAAAGTATGCCAATGGTGGCACGGAAAGAGTCGAAAGCTGATGAAATGACAATGATTGTCGTCTTTCAAAATTCTGTTTAGATTCAACGTTTATTACTTTTCAACCTGGTGATCTCCATCATCTGATCAACGACAGACTCGAACAAATCATATAGCTATTAACTAAAGATGAAGAGGGTCAGTGGAAGACTACGTTTCCTTCTGGGACACCTGAGAAGATTTCAATTAGGCCGTAGCCTATGCACCTATATGCATACGACTGAAAGAGGATTGGAAACAGGTAGTTATGAAACCGATACTTCTCCAGTTTCTTAAGAGCACTATTTACGGAAGAAATAGCTAGACGCGTATCTGGAACTGACAACATGACTAATCCCGAGTAGGCCTGGAATAATATCCAATCAGCTGTAGAAATACATTGCCAGTAAATACCAGTGAATTTCTGACGCTTTATTCAGAATGGCAGACTCAAGAAGACTGATTTCAGTGAGCTCCAAACATGACCAAGGATGAAAGCTGCTCAAGATGTTAACTGAATGAAAGCCTTTGCAACGACCGTGAACAGTGACGGGTAATAAAAGCCAAAGAGATGGATTAACTAAGATATACTTGGCAATGAGTGGAAATCTAAGAAAGAACCATTGGACTGGTGAAAATCATTCATTGTCCCAGTTTATAAGAATGGAAATAAGTCTTAGGGTTATAAAGGTTCACTAATATTATGTCTACAATTCCCAGTCCAATCAATATGCATGTAATAAGCGGTGCTCGGGAGAAACAAGTCCGAGAAAACCAAGAGGGCTTTAGACACAGAAGAGGATGACTTTTTGAATAACTGATGGCTAATTAAACCCATGATGAAAACCTTATTTTGTAGATAGATAATAAATGCCTACGTAGGAGACCTACAGTTTAGTCGATATTGCGTCAAGTTAACTGAGCATACTTTTGAAGTTATACAGTAAGCGAATCATTCAAATACGCATTAACCGGAGAATGAGTTCCATACATCCCTGATGAGATAAGTGTTAATGGTGTGAAATACAATATTGCATGATTCTTTTCTATTAATGATATTAGTATTTGTACTTTATAAGTAATTAATTTACAACGCATGAACACAAATGAAATTACTGAAGTATATTGAAAACAAAAGTCAACCATGTGTAAGAAATTAACATATTAGCAGTGTATTTGTAAGGAATTGGATAATATCCGTGTGAAATTCAGTCAGAGAAACACATTAAGGATCTCATAGTTATTTCTCCCCAGCGTTTAGAACTCTACAGCAGTAGTTCACACGCATAACTGCCTGTGAAATTGTACCTATAATTATTAATTTTTGAAACAAGCTTGTAATCTACTAGGCCATTAAGGTCAGAGCCAAAACCAACAGCAACAACAACAACAGACATCGATCAGCACAAACGGGAAGAATCTGAAAGAAACAACCTCCCTCACCTACCTATCTGAGAAGCATCCTATCAACCACAGGCAGACAGAACTGGTTACGATATCAGAGCGAGGATCGAGAAGGCAAGGCAAGCTCTCATTACTCTCAAGTCTGTGGGGAGACCAACAGCACACAGAATGAAAAATAAGATCCGGATTTTTAACTCCAATGTGAAGTCAGTGCTACTTACTATACGGATTAGAGACTCAGCGCGTCACGAAGGGCACTTCGAACAAACTTCAGACCTTCATTAACAGTTGTCTTCGCTCAATACTCAAAATCAGATGGACGGACAAAAAAGATCAGCAACAGGGATTTTTGGTAATGAGCGAACCAACCAGGAACCGATTGTGCAACAAATAAGTAGGAAGAAACGGAGGTGGGTTGGCCATACTCTGAGGAAACAAACCATCATGTGACATTGAATTGAATTTTTGATTTTCCCTGCTAGCCACCACCCACCAATTGTATACATCATGTGACATCACTAAACAAGCCATCGCTCAAGTGGAACCCGAAAGGGGAGCGGCGAGTTGGTCGTCAGTGCAAGGGTGACTTGGAGGAGGTCATGTTAAGAGAAGATGAAAGCATGTGGGCAGACTTGGAGCCAAGTGGAAACATTAGCAGAGAACCGAACGCAATGGAGACGTGGAGCTGAAGCTCTGTTCCTCTAGGAATTAAAGGAAATAATAATCATCATAATAATAATAATTTAGGTCAGAATTTAATAGATCCGTGATTAATAGCCTCTGCTAATTTAATAGATGGCAAGATCAATGAGTATTGGTCTTCAAAAACAAAACTTGACGGCAGATGCCCTTAGATAACGAATTTAAATAGATATACGTCAAATAATCTATTCATGGAAATAAATCTGCTGCTCACTATTGACTGACTTACAGAATGAAGCTACCTGGAGTTCTGGTGAGTAGTCATGACCACTGAGGTCCACCAAATCGGATGTGAAAGAAAAATCCGCCCATGACATTGGCTGGCGGTGGGGTACTAAATATCACAAATTAAATGCAGTTGGAATTCATGAGTCACTGAATTCCACCTCAGTGCCTGGATGTTCACAGCCCGCTCGCCTCATAACCTGGAGGTCCTGGATTCGATCCTTAACTAAAGGCGATGTCATGGTCGCGTACTGCCAAGAAGTCTCGAACTAGTAAAGGAACAGCTGTTCAGTACCCCATGATCTGCAATGGTCCAGCAAGTGACATCAGTCCAATCAAGTGCCTATAGACTAAAACTTGAAAAGCAACAGTTTGCTCACAAATCTTGACGAACCTCATTGATCACGACCTTTCCTCAATATGCCCGGTCATTCGTGCTGAATTGGCTGAAGTTGGAAATCGTAGACTATGGAATTTTAACAACCAAGGTGATTTCATTTTTCTAAAATTCTTATTTGTTACCTTTAATTCCTAGAGGAACATAGGGTTTCAGTCGCACGTCTTCAGTGTGTTCGGTTCTCCGCCAACGTGTTCACCTCGCTCCACGTCTGACCATATGCTGTCGTTTCCTCTTCACATGACCTCCTCCTCCATGTCACCCTCGCACTGACGACTAACTCATCGCTTTCCATTCAGTTTCCACTCGAGCGATGGCCTGGCATGTGATGTCACTTGATGATGGTTTGTGATATGTAGTCACATGATGTCTGTTTTGTTTTTGACAGTCTGATATATTTTGCTATGTGTATATTGATCGATATTCCATTATAACTCACAATATGCTTTGTCTGTCCGTTAACTAAATAAACAATGTATGACCTTTTTATCACACCTGCACACAACCAATCAGAATCCAATGATGGTATGAAATACTACTGTCTATCTTATTGGTTCATGTATATTAGTCATTTTCATATATACTCTGCATTGTACACTTTTATACACACTTGTTCACACCTTTAGTACATACACTACGTACCCTTTCACTCACACACTTGTGTGACAGTCAATTTCCTTTGTTGAAAAATACACATATCATCGTGAACGTGGTGGTCTTCTGATTTTCCCCTTTTCGCGTCAGGACAATTAACTACTCAGCAGTACATAACAGTTTATTGGCGACGAAACATAACCGTTTGTTTTCTCAGAGTATGGCCAATCCAATCCACCTCAATTTCTTCCTGCATGTTTGTTGCACAGTTGGTTCGCTCCCAGAGATCTATCCCTGTTGTTGATCTTTTCTGGCCGGCCATCTGATGATGAGTAGTATTGAGTGAAGACAGCTGTTGACGGAGGTCTGTAATTTGTTCGAAGTGGCCTTCGTGGTGCGGCACCAAGTCTTTGATGCATATGGTAAGAAGCACTGACTTCACATTGGAGTTGAAAATCCGGATCTTATTTTTGATGCTGAGTGCCGTTGACTTAACAGTAATGAGAGCTTGCCTTGCTTTCCCGATACTCACTTTGATATGCTCATCAGTTTCGTCCGACTGTGGTTGATACGATGCTTCTCAGGTACGTAAAGGAGGTGATTTCATAAGGAACTATAAAGAGTGACAAATCACCTCATGGATAAACATGACTGACTGAATGACTGGTTTCAACATAGAAGTTTGCACAGAAAAAGCACCAGTTCCACTTGCCACACTTCATGTATCACACAAAGGATGACAAAAGAGAGAAAAAGACGATATTCGAAAGGACGATAATAAAGGATAAAGGATAGTGCCATAGAAAAAAAAAATAGGATTAAATGAATACGCCGGATCACAAAAAGTGAATGCATCTGCGCCAGCCAATGAGAAAGATCTCTAGTCATGCAACCAGTTATCTCCAACCACTGATTCTCACCATCCAGAGTACCCCCACCCCCATCAAGGCAGTCTACATCTACTTACGTGGCTCAGACTAGCTGCTAAAGATTTCACAGATTGATTCCATGTTTTCGTTTGATCGCTACACGACTATCACTTTTCCAACCTGATTCACCCTACGTCAGCTAACATTGTTCATCGAGGAAACCGATGGCTAGGCGTGCATGGATAAATCGATATATCAGGTGACTAAGTAGTATCTTAAATTGCATTCAATTTCCTATCATGCACAGAATGTACATTTTTAAAATTATCGGATTATTCAAACTCGATGAATATTTTATTTCATTTTATACATTTATTAAGATTTTTTATTTCTTTTTAATCATAGCTATCAATCAAATTTCTAATTATCTTCACGAAAAAAAATAATAAATAAATGTGAATTCATCTACTACTCAAGTGTTTAAATAAATGTAACTTCCGGAATTCAATGTTCAATGCTTCTTGAATACAATATTCAATGTGTTCAACAATTTTTACAAAATTATACAGTACATAAATACATACATACATATACACGTGGATTTCATCCCTTTATGCACTTAAACAAGGTAAAAATCAATCACTCGCATGTATATGTATACGTCAGAAGTAAAAGGCATATTATACTTAAAACTAGCATTGTAAAATATACAGATCATAAATGAGCACAACACCACTCACCATGAAAGTTCATCAATTTTTCCAATAAGATCATTTGTAACAATTTTAAGAGCATTCCTAAAATATAAAAAATAAAACAAACAAACATTGAAATGTGATAGGTGAACCAAGAAAATACACAGAAATCAGATTACTTTCATAAAATTATTCCCCGTTATGAACATTATTTATTACCACGCCCATAAGTTCCGAGTGGAACATAGGGCGGTTTCAGCAAACACATCTCCATGCCATCCTAGTCTCCGAAGATATTTTTAGCTAGTCTCACGATTGCCACTAGACTTACACCTCCTTCTTCTCCTCACACAATCTCCTCCACATGTCACACACTCAGACGCATGCGGAACTCACCCTATCCCCTTCGAGTTCCACTCGACAGCCTGGACTATGATATCAGTCAATAGTCTCATCAGCGTGTGTTTGACTCATTTTCCTTTTTTTCGGCAGTAATGGTTGGGACTTCGCTGCGTTTTCCTCTAGAAATGAGTGCTTTCACTTGCTCGTGTGGAACCAGGTATGTCGACCGTCCCCAGCGTTCACTTTCCGAACAAACGTATCACTGAACACTTACCAGGATGCATGGTTTTACACAGGAGAAAAACGATGCCTTCATAGCTCTATCTTAGGACATCTGACAGATTTCGGACACCAAGCTACACCAAAAACAAACTCCAAAGTCGTCTACAGAATAATAAGCTGTCTTCCTAAAAGTGTACGAATCAGACTTCTTCAAACTGCAGAAGCAATGGCAATTCACTCGCTAAGTCCTGAACTCTGCATACAGAAGAAGTTCGTTCAATCACAACTACAACTGAAATGGACGTAATCTGTCTTAATACTCCACAGGTAAATTCTATTTCTTCCTGTCTCTTCATCAGTAGTATTTTGTCTTTTCAATGGTAATATTTTACATTTTCAACGTTCCTGTTCTCTACCCCCACCCGATTTAATTTCTACACCTCATTAACACTGTTACTGACTTGACCAACACTCAATTTCTGGTCATTTATGTTACGTCATCCAATTTACTTGCTCAATTTTAGTCGTAATTTAAATCGCATTATTCTCTGCCTTACCTGGCCAACTGTAATTGCTTCTGTTGTTTATCCTAACCTAAGTTGAAACATTGTAGTCAATTATATTGCATCATCAGGCTCGCGAGCCTGAAAGGCTCAGTGGTAACGTCTTTGACTGCAGCACTGGGTGATGCGGGTTCGAATCTCAGAAGAGACATGAGTTCCTTCAAGGTTGCAGATACACGCCTTGCCGATGAGTGCCGACTAGCGCAAAACCTAAGTCCAAGGCTTCCTGTGGCCGATTGCCTCCAACCATCTAATACCAACAATCCACAGTGCAGCACATAATGGAGAGCTACCTATCATGGTGGCCACATTGCAAGCTTGACTGATAGAATTCAGTCTGCACCGAAGATAGGACTAGACACACACACACACACATTACACTAGTTACTGACTAGTGTGCAATCAAAAATATCAGTCTTACTTTAGTTGCTATCTAGTTAACCTTGTTTCTATATAAGACCATCCTTATTTTATTTAATTAATTATCTTAACCTGACAAACCTCATGTACACACACACACACACAAATAATTGTATATAACTGCGATTGTACAGCTATGTGAATGAATTCGTCAACGAAAAGAGTCTCTTTGCTGAATGTCTTCTCTTTTTCACTTAATATGTGGCAATATCATCAGATAAAAAGTCAATAATCTGAATGAGACGATGTCATCATTTATTTTATCGTCCCCCCCCCGCCAAAAAAAAAATTCAATCAAGTATACCTACAGAGAAATTCCTTCAATGTATATGCAAAGTTGACATGATGTTAATTAACAGAAGACCGTAAAGCTGACAAACACTACTCAGAAATTACACTTTTATATAACTTATACACACAAAAGGTCCAGGTCTAACCAAAAAAATTAAATAAACGTTTAGATAGAGTGGAACTGTATGCATATACAGATTTACATGCATCTGCAGTTGCAGTTACATTAGGTGAACAGGAAGACAGGCACAACTTGGATTCTCTGAACTTGTACCAAAACCCGATGTATCAAGAGAACAAATGATTTGAATAGTGCTAATAATGCCAGATATCTTGTTGATATAGGTCATGAGGTGGAGGAGAACGTCGGTGGTACAGCGGTAGAATGCTAACCAACCCCACACAGATGGTTCGGGGTTCAATCTCCGGCCGGTGTACTGACTCCTTTACCTCGCTAAACTAGTAATCACACTGGGAAAGAGGGGAGGTTGAGTATGAGGCTAGCAACCCCATCCCGTAAAAATAAATACCACTGCTAGCATAAATTCACGGCTGTAGCCTGAATGATGAAAATTACTCTGGTATAATGATAAAACTTGGGCACTGCGGTAGAGTCTAATTTAATTTTTTTTTATAACTTGACTCCATATAGTATATTTGATACTAGAATGGAATTTTCAGCATGTAATATCGGTAGCCCAAATTTTGCAGGCCGACCACTGATATCGGGTATGCATCGGCCAGGCATCGAACCCCGGACCGTGTGCATGGCCGGCGAGCGTCCTAACCACTGTGCCACCAAAGCAACATTGTGGGTAAAATTTATTCCGCCGATAAAATCTCTCAGTGTTATACAGTAATGTTTACTGATGACCACGTTTCAAGCACAATTTATTACTGCAGCTCAAAATTATGTCAAGGCACTACTCACACAACTTTCTAACTTCGTTTATATAATTCCATCATTATTTTGCATCACTTGACTTCATTGGTAGTAGTATTTTCCATAATTCTGATATCAGTGAGGAGTCATTCCTGTTGCATGTGTTCGAGTGTAGATTCGATGAATAAAGATTCAGTAATCAACCTCTCTCTCACTTTTCCTCTACCTATAATACCTTTTTAGAATTTTAACTCTGTCACACCCACCCTACTGTGTGGTTGTGTAGATGCATGCAGTACTATTGCTGAGCTTCTTCTGAATTACTTATCTTCGTGCGGTCAATTACTCTAAACTTAGCTGAACTGTTATGTTCTCACAATCTACTGGTTTGAGCTATGTAGCTGAATTCTCTCACAGTCACTGCAGGGAATTTTGTAAATTATATTACTTTGTCTAACTGGGTCAACAGGGTCACTTAACCCTCAGAATTTATCCCTGAGTGAATTTGTAGGTTTAAATGCCACTCTAATTCCTGATTTATTAAGAATCCCACTACGTAGGATCACAGATGTCCCCTCCTTATATGGTATAACTGTGGACGCTTTATATTTATTTATTTGAATAAGGCATTAAGAAGACAAATTTCGCGAGATGATATCATACCTATCTAAATATGATTGGTCATTAGTATGTACTTTTGTTTTTTATTTAACTGAGTAATTGTCATGAACTTTATTTAATTATTGTTAACCATGTTAGTTGTAAAGCGGTTGTAAAGAAACTACGAAATGATATCATCTCGCGAAATTTGTCTTCTTAATGCCTTATTCAAATTTATCAAAGGGACTAATTGTTTTAATTTATTTATTTATGCTATCATTATGAGTTTTCCCATTATTCTTAATTTGCCTTTACTCATCTTCCTAGTGGATTCTATAGGACAGTTATCTAACACTAACGCCTATTCTATCTGTTTCATTTCATCATTTAGGTATTTTATTGTAATACTAAGTGCGATTGCTCGGTTTGTTAAATACTTAACTAAGCCCCCCTTCGCAGATAGATGACGGATGAGACGAATTAAAGTCTAAATATTTTATTAGCAGAATGTGTTGGCTCTTTGTAAATGCTAGTGTGCAGTTTATCTTCTTATGTTGGTTTTATTTTACAAACTAACACCATAGCTATTTCTTCTTGTTCATTTTCCGATTCAAAGCCAACGCATTCTAATAGACAATATGTTTATGAGTAGTAATAAATTGTGCTTGAAACGTGGTCATCAGTAAATATTACTAATAAATTACTCTGGTACTAATTAATACACTCTATTATTCAGAAGTAAAGTAAAAAGAAAACAGCTGAGAAAGCTAAACAGACGCGAAAACTTTAAGATTATTCGTCAAACAGCAAAAATAAGGAGTCCACGAAGTAGAGAAGACCGAGGTAACGAAAATAACCAACCAACCAACCAACGACAACAACAAGCACTAATCGTTATCGACGGAAGAAATTTGAAAGACGTCACTTGTTTCACTTATCTAAGCTGCACCGTTTCAACTACAGACAGATAGTGTGGATGAAGATGTCGAAACCAGACAGAATCGGAAAGGTGAGACAGACCTTCATTGCTCTGATTAAGAGTCACGGAAAGCATTCCTAACAGGTTATTGTAGACTTTTAATCAACATCTGTCCTCACTGGCTCCACATAGTGAAGATCGAATCCCCTGTCAGAAAGAATTAGCGACAAGAAACACTGGAAACAAACCAACCAAAAACCTCTAGCTTAACAAACATGTCGAATAAAATGCAGATGAATCGGACACACACACACACACATTGAGAAGATCACCATCGAATGACATCTCAGCGCTAGATCATCATCACTCGAGTGGGACCTGAATGAGAAACGACGAGTGGAGAATCCTAAAGGTGACATGGAGATAAAAGAGTATGAGCAATCGCGGGGGCATCTAAAAAGGACCGGAGATGTATTGTTGAAGCCCTATGCCCTGATGCAAACCCAAAGGAACAATAATAATAATAATAACGTCGGGAAAACCCAAAAAGAAATAATAGCTGTCTCTAAGTAATTATCTCTGATGAGTTCACGTCAACAGGAATCAACCTGTAAAGCCAAATTAAGCACACAGGCTAACCACTATACAAGAAAACAGTTTCGACAACAACTATTCCTCTCTTTCTCTCTCTCTCTCTCTGTCTCTCTCTAAGAAATAAAATCACGATTGAGATGACAGAGGCAGCTGAACGAATTTGAAGGCTTTATCACTAAGCATTAAGGTGATAATAATAAATTTGTTCTGAATTATGGAATTCAAGCGGAGAAATTGACTTGCATATGATGGGTTAATCTACTATTCATTAAAACTATCACTTTATAGGATTCACCAATGTTTATTATTATTATTTCCTTTAATTCCTAGAGGAACATAGGGCTTCAGCTGCGCGTCTCCACTGCGTTTGGTTCTCTGCCAACGTTTTCACCCTGCTCCAAGTCTGCCTACACGCTTTCATCTCCTCTTCACATGACCTTCTCCAAGTCACCCTTGCACTGACGACCAACTCGCCGCTTCCCTTTCGGGTTCCACTCGAGCAATGGCTTGTCTAGTGATGTCACTTGATGGTTTGTTTCCACAGAGTATGGCTAATCCATCTCCATTTCTTCTTGACTATTTGTTGCACAATCGGTTCCTAGTTGGTTTGCTCCCAGAGATCTCTGTGTGCTCAGTCACAGTTAAAAATTGATGATGATGAACTACATGAACAAAATATTTTGATTAGTTTAAACCAGTGAAATTGACACACACACACTTCTTACAGTTCTTCGCTGAAAGCAAACACCGAATTCATAAGTAAACATATATAAACAGTGATGAATATTCAATTTACACAGCTTAAGACCTTTTACAGTACTACTGTTTTTCCATTCCGTTTGTATTCCGACAAAAACACATACGCCTTCAAGTTTGAGTAGCATTGGTGTTGTCTTTTTACGAAATAGGGTTGTTAACCCTTCCACACACCGAACCTTCCCGTCTACTAAAGGACCAACGGAAGTTTACAAATACCTTGGTCAGGAATCAAATCCGCGGTACGAAAATGGTTTTACTGAACTTTTACTTTTAAAATTTGCGCTCAACTTCATATATACAAGTTGAATTCTTTGCACTCGATTACTCTGAATAGATTCATCATGTGACAGGTTAAGAGGCACTTATAGTGTGCGTACGTGTGTGAAGGCATAACAATAGTTTATTTACAGAGGCCAAAGTAGGTAGAGCAGAATTCGAACCAAGGACTTATTGGTTAAAAGCTGATAGCTTACGTCAGTAAACCATATTGTCCTCATAGTACGATTGTATAGGATTCCGTTAACTGGTTTAATGCTCACATTGACTGAAAGTGTTCCAATGATTATTCTACTAACATTGGATTTCAGTAGTTTAGTAATGCTATATAATTCTCTTCGAAAACTTCCTCATCAGGTTATATATATATTTGTGAATTGAATATAAACGACAAATTCAGCGAAGAAAATTTTCTTTATCGACGAAATCATCTTCATAAATGATCAATAGTTGTGTGAAGGATAAACTGCCGTCTCCCTGTGGGTCACTTCAATGTGTGTTTATAAATTCACCTGCTCGTGTGGACCTAGTTACATTAGCCGCACAAAGCGCACGCTTTCTAAACGCATCTCTGAATATTATGCGGCATGGTTAGCGAAGGGAAAATGCAAGACAATTACTAGCTCAATTTTCGAACATTTGGTGAAAACGGGTCACGTAGCTCTACCAGAGTCGTCTTTCAAGATCACCTACAAGGTGAAGCCAAATGGTAATAAGGGCGTCATGTTTCGGCTTTTGTGTATGATGGAGGCGCTGGCAATTCATCAATACAACCCTGAACTCTGTATACAGGAAAAGTTTGTCCAGTCTCTTATTCTACCTTGGTCTTAACCTCTTCACTAATCGTTCCCTGTAAAAAATTTTGATTTCTTCTTTTCTTTTTTAATTTTGCTTTTAGTTTACTTTTGCTCTAATAATTAATTCACTATTATCAGTCTCAGATGCTCCTTTTGTACATTTCACACCCTCTGCACACTTGTTAAATTGTCACTCGACTACCTTTATTCTCACTCAATAGCAATTTTAACCTTATCAAATTTGTATCTTTGTGCCGTTGAGTACCACGTAATTTACAACTTTTAATTTTCACTTTTAAAGCCACTTCTGAGTAATTATATCAATTATGTCACCCCTATTACTCAATAATAGACCACTGTATATTTTTTGTAAGTAGAAATACGACTGCACAGCCTCTGAAGATGATTTCGTCGATAATGAAAATTTTCTTCGCTGAATCTGTCTTTTATTTTCTTCATGACTCAATGGGTATTTTCGGTGATATGTGAATTCCTTGTATAAACACAGATCCGGCTTCTTCAAATGGATCCCAACAGTTTCCGCCATATACAACAGAGAAACTCGTAAGGAGAATTTTGAGCCTAATCGGAAAGTGATAAATAACTTGTTAACTTCGAGCTCAGTATCCACAATGTGTACTATTAGACGCCTAGGAATAGACCTTGTTTTTCCCCCCTGCTCAACCATGCAGGATGATCATCAGATGCTTCAATGATGAACATACTTAGTTGTACGCCTAGTGTAACTGGCGTCGAAGGAGCAGTCAAACTCATGGATACACACAGAGAAGACGATAGATAGATGGATGGATAGACAAGTTATCCTTATTTCCTGAACATAAAATTGGAGTATTTGTGAAGAACTAGTGTACCACTGCTGCAGTGAATCCCCATTTTACTGCATTCTCCACACAGTGTATTATTATTTCTTCAACTATTATGCATAAAGAACTGTAGAACGTGATGAGAAAGTTACCAAAAAGAATATTCTTCGCACATTAATTGGAGGAAACATGAATGGATATGTCAGCTTCGAGTACGGACGTCCCAAAGATGTCTAAGAATTAACATGAAGCCACTTCAGTCGCCAGTGACTAACACTCGGATCTCAGATGCACATTTTATCCGATTTGAGAATCGTCAGCCAGGCGTATCTGCAATTTTCTGTGAATTAGGGTATCCCAATAATCAGACTGGAGTCCAGCATCCATCGCGCTTCAAGCACCAAAGCGTTATTCACTAGCCCGATTGGGTCACGGGAGAGCCATCTGTCATGCATCGAATATCAGTTATTACTTGAAAAGTTCCGAACAGGATGAGACGTACATCCTGAATTCCATCATAGAGTCACCATCCATGAAATGACATGCAAATTAAATCACTGAATAAATCGATTCGGTTTGTGAATAAAACAATATTTTTGAAACAAGAAAAACTCATTTTTATTACATACTTTGTTTGAATTAATTCTTGATTCTCTTTTATTAAATTTTGTACTTCCCTGCGTACACCTAAATGAAGAAAAACAACAAATCCAGGAGCAAACCAAAACAAAAAAATAATGTAAGTGAACACATTCAGCGTATAGCTAAAAAATGAAAACAAAAATTAAACAGATTAACTGTTTCACAAACTATGATCTACAAAATTTGACTGTTAATCAGACTGTCAGCAGCTTAGGTGAAACAAACAAACAGAAACACAAGTATGCAGAAAATCAACTCATACAGATCAAATAGTTAATTACAACTTTCAAGTATTGGACTAGTAAACAGAAGGTCCTGGGTTCAAACTGTGTCAGTGGGTGCGGACTGATGAAGAGGCCCAACTTAGACTGACGAAACAGCTATCCAGTACTCCATGCTGGTCTTCAATGGTACCCTAACTCATGGTAAAACCCTCCAACCAGAAAAAAACAATCCCTAAAATACCAGCACTTAAAATTTGGTCTGATGTTTGCTAGCCACTGGCCACATTCAGGAAGGTAGTCACCTGGGGTTCTAGTAGGAAGCCGTGACCAGTAGGCAACAGCAGGTTGAAGGTGAGGCAGTAACTCATCGAAGAAGACATTGAGAAGTGGTCGCGCTATGTCATGAATTGGCAGAAGTTGGAATTAATGGAGTGGCAATTGGATCGGGTCCCAGTGGCTGAGTGGTCTATGAGCTCACCTTGTAACCAGCAGGTCCTGGGTTCGAACCTTGTCATCGGGTGCATACTGATGAAGAGTCTCAAACTAAGACTCTCCAGTACTCTCAGGTGGTTTTCCAGTGGTTCTCGAACCGATGTCAGCTCATGATGAAATCCTTCAACCAAATTAATTACAAAAGCAAAAAACAATATTCGAAAGAGCCAGGACACACTGCAACAGTGCTGTACCTTGAGGAGGAGGGCAGGGGAGAAACATTTTATGAATATATTCCAGAAAAATGTATATTCATAAAACTTCATCAAAATACGTTCAGTCTCAGTCCAACCGATTAATTCAAAACTATCCAATGTAAGTGCAAAGAAAGTCAGCCTAGTGTGGTGAGTGCTACTTATAATCAGATATAAGTAGTATATCAGTAAGCGAATTCAGAAAAGTAACAATACGTTTTCGGCACTGGGAAAAAAAGCGGTCGAAGAGGACAACTGCGAGGAGGTCGTTACAACATTTTGCGGAATCCAACAAGCTATCAAATGTGGTGATATTCGACCAATTTGCAAATGATGTGCAAATAAAAACTCAAAGGTAAGGTATACCATATTTATGTACCTACAATACGTTTGCCCTGATAAACACTGCCTTCAAGCACCATCGGTCATTTTTTGTTTACACTACCAGTTATGAAGAATATCTCTGAAATCTTGGCAAGACTAATGAAACCTTTTTGAAATAGATGTCACCCGCTTTAATGTTTACTATGCCAACTAAAAGACGCAACAACAAAAGAAGACAAAACCGACATCGTTACAGATACCCATTCGTTGAAAAAAATGTATAAATCTTAGACAAAAGAAACGCCAAAAACACCAGAGAATTTCTAGAAGTCTGGTTATTCACACTCATCTGTAATCAACAGACCAAATTTATTAATCAATTAAAAACGAAGTCACCTGGACGAAAGGTCAACTGTCACCAGATCAACAAAAGAATCAATACTAATACAAGCGGACATAAGAGGTTGAAGAATCTTTGAGAATCATCCAACCACATTAAAGATGGCTAGGAGAGATAGCTATGGAACTCATGGAGCATTTTGAAAGCTGAGAGTATTGTTTAGAGAAGCAAGGAAAGCATTGCAACCAAACCATCCAGCTTAGAGAATACAACCAGACCAATTGTATAGACGACAAAACGGTTTCTACACGTTTTTAGTCGCATTATCCAGAAGCGAGATGAGAATCCACTACTGAACTACTGGTAACAACTTTATGTATAACACTGCTTATCTAATCCCATTTTAGATAAAAAGATGAAATACGGAATGGTTATATGTGCAGCCGATAGTAAACTTGGAAAAAAGGAAAGGTTACGCGTGAGACCAGTAACCCTACCTCGCAGAAACAACACCACCGCAAATGAAATCTCAAGGATTAAAGTCATGTGCTGTTGTTGCTGTTAGAAATACACTGACTGGATCAGATTTTTCATATACCAGCCGATGAGCTATACGTATTGTGCGAGGGCTGGTCTGGTGATGCCGACAAGTCAACCAGGCTGAAGTACGTATGAAGAAGTATATATACACGGAGAACCAGTCAATCCTTGTTAGCAGTTCCAGCCACCTGAGCACCAAAACAGTTAGGTAGTATCCCCGGGCACTCAAACGCAGATACAGCAACCAAACACTTGATCTCTAGTATTCCTTTTTTTGCTAAAGAAAGCAACCTCCTAACGATGTTACTTACGGAAAACAGTTGTGTGTGATATTCTCCAAGTAAATATAGACTACATAAGTTCATCTGAACGGAATCTGCCCAAAAAAGACTTTCACTGCAGTATTCGGAAGCATCACCTGTGTGATATTAGCGCTACACATTAGGCATTATTTTACTGTGTTTCAGCCTCTAAACAGAATGAATATCCAATAAACTTCAATTAAGCAAAGGGGTGAGCCTTTTTGTAATTAGTAAATCAACCAACTTCCACGGTGTGGGCAGCCGGGAAGTAACAAACGCCCTCACAATCCGAGACAGTAAATCAAATTCACAATTTACACAGTTTGAGGAGGTAAGATTTCGTTTGATTGGATACTAGTAACTAGTGTGTCATGTGTCTAGTCCTTTATTTCGTGTAGACTGTATTCTATCACTCAGTCAAGTCTGCAATGTGACCACCATTCTAGGTAGCTCACCATTACGATGCACATTGATTTGGTGATATTGTCTGTCTGTCTGTTTTCGACACAGAACTTTGCACAAATGTGCGGAAGTTCAAGTCGCCACATTCCGTGTAGCACGCGAAGCAAGAGAAGAAAGTACAAGAAAAGCATAATAGAAACAGTGAGCAGAGGTGTGAGACAAAGGAGTAATAAAGAAATACAAAACAGTTTCATTGAAGATCATAAGTCACAGGGAGTGGATGCATCTGCGCCACTGAGAACGATTTTGAGCCATGTCACCAATTGTTTCCAACCATAGATTTTTACCGTCCCGAGGACCCCAGCCTGGAAGTCTACACCTTTCTACGTGGCTTAGACCAACTGTTGTGGATTTCATTGACTGATGCCAAGTTTTTGTTTGACCGCCGCTAGCTTTTTTCCAGCCTGACCCTATATCCGCTAACATAGCTCGTCGAGGGAGGCGATGGCTTGGCATACGTAACACATGTCCTAACCATCTCAGTCTTTGTAGCTTCACGACTTCGTCGATTGATTTCCCCTGTTTACCTAGAACTCTACGCCTAACCTCCATGTTGCTCACCTTATTATGCCACTTTACACGGGAAATAGAACGCAGGCACCTATGATCAAAGACAGCTAGTCTTTTCATGTCTTCCACTCTCAGTGGCCAGGTCTCACAACCATAAAGGAGGACGGAGCGGACTGATGAGCAGTACACCCGCCCTTTGGTCGATAGTCGAACATCTCGTCTACGCCAGAGTCGGCGTAAACTAACAAATGCGAAACGAGCCCCTTGTATTCGTGCTGAGATTTCGTCAGAGATCAACCCGTTGGGGCTGATGGTACTTCCCAAATAAGTGAAGCGGTCAACGTGCTCTACCACTTCACTTCCTATTTTTAAACTAGGCGTCGATGTAGTCCAGTCCTGTAACATCATCTTGCATTTGGCGGGAGCGAATCGCATGCCAAACATTCGTAGATTGCGGCTCAAGGTGTTTAGAAGACTCTGCATTTCGTCAGCGTCTTCGCCTAGAAGGACTATATCGTCTGCATATTCCAAGTCAACGAGATTATTCCCCGGTAGCAAGTCAATCCCTGAATCGCTGAAGTCACCTAGGGTTAAGTCCATTAACACATCTATGATGAAGTTGAATAGAAAAGGAGATAATGGGCATCCTTGACGGACACCACTGGTCGTCATCAGTTCAGATGACAGCTCGCCGTAAGCCCTCACCTGGCTGTATGAGTACGAATAGAGTGCCTTAATCAGTGCAATATATTTTCTTGGAATTCCCTTTACAGCCAAGCATCTCCAGAGAACTTCCCGATCGACAGAGTCGAATGCTGCCTTTAGGTCAAGAAATATAATGACTGTTGGACGCCGGTAGGAATGCCTATGTTCTAGAATCTGTCGGAGGGTGAAGATATGATCAATACACCCTCTTCCTGGTCTAAAGCCTGCCTGGCTCTCTCGTGTTTGTGCTTCCCGAGCACTACTCAGTCTACGCATGATTATTGAGCCTAAGACTTTAGATACTATTAGATATTAGATAGTTGGAGGCAATCACCAAGAAGCCATGGACCTAGGTTTCGTACTAGTTGGCACTCGTCAGCAAGGAGTATCTTCAACCTTGAAGGAGCTCATGTCCCTTCCGAGATTCGAACCCGTATCATCCAGTGCTACAGTCAGAAACGTTGCCACTGATATATTCGGACTCGCGGTTGACTTGCTGTAGTTCCCCCCTTTGAAAATTTGAAATTATTCAGGTAACAATACATGATCAAGAAGTTAAGCATAAATGCATGACGTTAGATACTACTAATTGAATGAGATGATTAGTTGTATACTACCCATAGGAACTAGCATCTTTAGTTTCTTGATTACCATTTCTGCTACTAAACAGGCCACACACACAGTGGTCTGAATAGTTTCGGTAGTGTAGGGGAATAATCACCTCAAGATATGATATATGGTATTACCAGTTCCTCGTAGCAGATAGCCAGAAGTTGGGTGTGTTAAACTGATTGAGCTTGGTCCTGAAGGAGTGAGACGGCCGTCCAATGTTTCGATCACTTCAGTCTGACTAGTTAGCAAACACTAATTGGTGGATATGAGTGGTATTCTCAACTACTCATTTCAATCAATGAGTAATTCTGCTGAGGTAGATACAAGTATCGTAATGAGA